GGCAGGGCATGGGTGCTCCCAGGAATGCTATTCTTGATCTGGCAGGAAGGATCCCATTCTACCTCTTCCTCAGCCCCCTCCCTGGAGGCTTCGAGCCTCTGCACCTTCCCTTCGAGCCTCACTGTCCTCATGAGTCAGGCTGGCAGTACTGTATGCTGGCGGGCCGCACATACTCATTTCTGGTCACTTGTCCTTGAGAAAATTCACCTCTGAGGTTTCAGTTTTCTCTTCTATGAAAATGGTAGCACAGAATTGAGATCAGAGAGTGGAGGGAGGGTATAGAGGAGGTGCTAGCTGGGAGAGGGTGGGCAGCATCCTTGAGGCCTCCTGACCCCATCCTCTGAACAGCACTTGTTGGGGGGGCTTATGACTGGTCATCCATCACCGTGATTGTGTCCCTGCAGACCTTCTGCCAGAGCTTGGCACCTGCAGGCCTCACAAGGGCACTGGGGTAGGAGATGGGGCAGCTGGGCCCAGGGACCCACAGTCAAGGGTCTTTGCTAGGCATTACTGAAGCTTCTTCTGGAGAGAGATAGGTGGTGACCTGGTGGTTTCTGGGAGAGATGGAGGGGAAGGAAGAGAAGACCACCAGGCAAGGTAGAGTGGCAGGGCTGGGGACACCTGGCCCAGGCTTCAGCTTGCCTGCCCTACCCAGGCTCCTCTCGAAGATCCTGAGTGAGTGTGAGGACGCTGATGAGATCGAGTACCTGGTGGATGGCTCATGGTGCCCAATCCGTGCTGAGAAGGAGCGCAGCTGCAGCCCCCAGGGCCCCATCCTTGTCCTAGGTGAGTCCCAGGCCCTGTGACTTCAGCTATGTCTGTGTTTGACTCTGGGTCCTGCTGATCCCTAAGAGTAGGCAGCCGGGGCATATGTGTCAGCCAGGCCTATGGTTGAGCCAGTAGCCTTGGTTTCCCCTTTTGTGGGTTAGTAGCTTCCTGAGTACCTTTGTCCCCATCCCTGTCACCCACAGGCACCTCGGATGCCAACGGTCTCCTGCCCGCCCCCAGCATCAATGGGAGCAGCACCATGGGTGGCACAGGTGGTAGCAGTGGCTCAGTCAGTGGCACTGAGAACGGAAAGCCAGGAGCCGATGTGGTGGACCTAACGCTGGATAGCTCATCATCCTCAGAGGAGGAAGAGGAAGAGGAAGAGGAGGAAGAGGAGGAGGATGAGGAAGGCCCCCGGCCCAAGCGCCGCTGCCCCTTTCAGAAGGGCCTGGTGCCGGCCTGCTGACCGCTGGCCGCTGGACACTCGACTTTCCTGGTGCTCACCACAAAGGGGGCGCAGGCCGGCCTTGGTGCAGAGGGGAGGAGTGGTTTTTTTTTTTTTTCCTTTTTACTGTCGTTCATTTTGTTTTTCCACCCCTTTCCCTGGCTCCTGGCACCTGTACCTCTGGACTCTCCTATCCGGGGATTAAAAAAAAGTAAAATGACAAAAAAAGGTACAAAAAAAATGCAACAAAAAGTCAAACTCTTAACATCAAGGCCAGCCACACAACACAGCCGCCTCCCTGCTGGATCCCAAGCCTGATTGGAGCTGACCTGGGAAGGGGCGGTAGGCAGGCAGGAGGGACCCAGGAAACCCTATGTGCCCTCCCCTCCATGCCACCCCAGCCACCTGCTGTCCTCTTCCTATGACCATTCCAGCTGGTGCAGAGGGCGCTGGGAAGACAGACAGGAAGGCTGACAGGGCACAGCCTTTCTGGCAACCTCCACTTTGACATTCATCTGTTCCTTTGCTTTTCTCTGCAAACGGGTCCTCTGGCCCGGAGACCCTTGAGCGCCGAGCAGTGAACATTTTAGCCAAGAAGCCATGGAGTGGGTTGGGCAGGGGTGGGTGTCAGGGTTGAGGGTAGGTGGGTGGTAGGGTGGGGGTGGGGGTGGGGGAGGGCTTAGCCACAGATGTGTTGTATTTTTTGAAAGTGCAATAACTTGGTATTTTGAAGACCCAGCATGTGGCCAGGGCCCCTGGGGAAGGCAGGGCCCCAGGGTGCGGCACCATGTGGCGTGGGGGGGTCTCAGTTTTCTAGCCAGCTACCTCGGTAACTCCAATTCAGGTTAACTTCCCTACGGAACAGCACAGATGTCCACAGCTGCCGCTGCCGCTGCCACCGCCCTGCCTCCGCCCCCCCAGTCTATGGAGCAGGGAGGTCAGTCACCTCCCAAGGAGCAGCAGGGACCCAGCTGCCTCATCTCTGGTTTGGGTTGGTTCCTCTCCCTCTTTTTGCTCTTGGGTTTTCTATTGGGTGGGAGGCCGGCCTGGTATCCCCTTCCCCAGGAGCCTTGTTCTTCCAGAGGGATGGGCTGCCCTGGGCACCAGACAGGCCAGGCCACCCAAGCCCTCGGCCTCAGGGGTCCAGCAACCGAGGAGGCTTCTGGGACTTTGCCTGAGCCACCTCCAGGACCCACAGCTGGGCGATCCCCTGGCTGTGCCCCCCCCAGGAAGTGGTGGGTGCAGGAGTGGCACAGCCCTGCTTGGGGTCTCCAGCACCATGTTCTCTTTTGCTTTTTTCTTCCCTGCCTCCCCCTCCCTCCCCACACCAGAATCACTCTTGTATAAACAGAACTCTCCTAGTCAGGAAGCAATATCATTTCAGGTTTAAAGAAGAAAGGGACATAAATCTGGTAGAGGGCAAATCCAGTTTTACTGTATAAACCCGGTTGCGCAGCCCAGCTCCCTCCCACCTGCACTGGCAGCTGAGGGCCGCTGTTTTCTAATATTTGTATTCTAATTTAATTGTTTTTAAAAAATGCAAATAAAAAAGGTCGAGGTGAAGCCACCAAGGCATCTGCCTTTCTGTGCCCTTTTTGTCTTAAAGTGTGTCAAGGATATTAGGCACCCCATGGGGTAGGGGACAGGGTGAGGAAAAGGACAAAAGCTCAGCTCCATGAACATTTGTCTCTTGTTGAATGAAGTTCAGAATTCAGAAGGCGCAGCATGTCATCACTGAGGCAGGTTGTACCTTGGACTGTCAGGGCCTAGTGGCCCTGCTGGACTGGGCAACTTGGGAGAAGTGACTTGGGCAGGAGGAATTCAGACCCTAAGATGCCTGGCTCCCTGACAGCTGAGAAGCCAGTGAGTTCATGAAGTGATGTTAGAGAAATGCACTTTAAATCCACTGTGGCTCACACTTACTACAGTATAGTCTAAGCTACTCAGGAGGCTCGGGCAGAAGGATCACTTGAGACCAGGATTTTGAGACCAGCCTGGGCAACATAACAAGATCCCATCTAGAAAACAATTTTTTTGTCAAGCAAGGCAGCTCATTTTTGTCAAGCAAGGCAGTCTGGGAGGCTAAGGCAGGTGGATTGCCTGAGCTCACAGGTTCAAGACCAGCCTGAATTAGAGCGAAACCTACTTGTGAGGCTGAGGCAAGAGAATCACTTGAACCCAAGAGTTTGAGATTGCTGTGAGCTATGATGCCACAGGAATCTACCGAGGGCAACAAAATGAGACTGTCTCAAAAAAAAAATTTTGTTTTAGAAAAATATTTTAAATGACATGCACCTGTAGTCCCAGCTATTCAGTTGCCTGAGGCAGGAGAGCTGAAGAGTCTGAGGCTGCAGAGAGCTACGACACTACTGCATTCCAGATTGGGTGACATTGAGACCCTGTCTGTAAAAAATAAAAATTAGAAAATATTGGGCAGCACCTGTGGCTCAAAAGGGTGCAAGAGTCCTCAAACTGTGGCCCGCCTAGGACATTTATCTGGCTCGCCAGGTGTTTTTGCCGCCACTGCTGACTTGTCCTGGGACCCGAAGTCCCACCCTCCAATGGTCTGAGGGACAGTGAACTGTCTCCCTGTTTAAAAAGTTTGAGGACCCCTGGCTGGTAGGGCACCAGCCCCATATGCCAGAGGTGGCGGGTTCAAACCCAGCCCCAGCCAAAAAAAAAAGCCAGGCTTGGGGTGGCATCTGTGTCTCAGTGAGTAAGGTGCTGGCCACATACACACAGGCTGGCGGTTCAAACCCTGCCCAGGCCTGCTAAACAATAACAACTGCAACAACAAAAAAATGGCAGGGCATTTTGGCAGGCACCTGTAGTCCCAGCTACTTAGGAGGCTGAGGCAAGAGAATCGCTTAAGCTCAAGAGTTTGAGGTTGCTGTGAGCTGTGATGCCACAGCACTTTACTAAGGAATGATATAGTGAGACTGTCCCCCCCAAAAGAAAAAACATTAAAAAGCCAGAGTGAGGGGTGGCACCTGTGGCTCAAGGAGTAGGGTACCAGCCCCATATACCAGGTATGGCAGGTTCAAGCCCAGCCTCGGCCAAAAACTGCAAAAAAAAAAAAAAAACAAAAACCCAAAACAAAAAACTTAAGTCTTGGGCGTGGTGCCTGTGGCTTATGGAGTAGGGCTCCAGCCCCATATACCAGAGGTGGCGTGATCAAACCCAGCCCCAGTCAAAAACTGCAACAACAACAAGAAAAAAGCCAGAGTGAGATACTCTGTCATACCCACCAGGATGGCTGGAATCAAAAAAGACGATAATCATCAAGGATGTGGAGGCCCCACTCATAGCCACTGGGGGTGTGGAATGGTACAGCTGCGTGGAAGCTGTTAAATGTTGAGTTAGCACGGGACTTGCTGTTCCACTCCTAGGCACGTACCCAAAGTGAGTGGACACATTCTCCACATAGAAACTTGCATACAAATGTTAACAGCAGCATCATTCACAGGAGCCAAAAAAATCCAAACAATCCAAGTATGCATCAACAGATGGATAAATACAACGTGGTCCATCCACACAGTGGAAATTTTTTTTTTCTTTTTTAAAGATAGGGTCTTACTCTGTGATCCTGGCTGAAGTGGAGTTGCACAGTCATAGCTCACTGCACCCTGGCCTCCAGCAATGCTCCTGTATTACAGGTGTGAGCCATCACATCTGGCCCCTACTGTATCATTCAGCCATGAAAAGACACAGGCTACAATGTGGATGGACCTTGAGGACATTGGCTCAGTGAGAGAAGCCAGACATACATACAGTGTGTGACTCCTATTTATGTGAAATGTCCATTGTCAGGGGCTCGGGAGGGGTGGGAAGTGATCGCTAAGGACAGGGGGCTTTTTCTTTGGGAGCAATGGAATGTTCTGGAATTAGATCATGATGATGGGGCACAATTCTTTGAATATATTAAAACCACTGACTGAATTATATCTCAATTAAAAACAAAAGCTTCTCCCACTTAGCAGAAAGGCCATGGGGAGTCAGTGAAGAGGCCCCTTGAGGGCCAAACAGCAGTGGAGTGTACTTCCTTCTGCCTCTCAGTTCAGAGGTCATAGAGCTAATCTGTGGCTCCCTCAGCTCACCAACAACATGGAACCCTGAGTACAGTAAGGGCTCAGGACAGGGTCTGGCTGCAGAACCTCCAGCCCCTAGCCCCACCCCAGCCCATGCTGAAGCTCTGGGTGTAAACCTTATGAATCCCACAACCTGGGTCTTCACGTGAGGGAGACAGGTTAAGAGGTTCTGACTCCCCAAGCTGCAGAGCGCACTGTGAGGGCTCTGGGGCTCCAAGTTTTGTGGCATTCTCAAGCAGGGCCTGGACAGGCCATACCAGCTCCCAGTCCCCATGGCTACTGGGAGGCTAAAGCTCTGGATGGACCAGGTGCTGGCTCAGTGTGGACATCTGTGCCTCTATCACTTAGTGATGGCCTGGACAGATACCTAGAAACATGAGCTGTGTCTGGTTGGGGGACAAGAGGCAGGAGGGGGCTCTCCCTGGGATCCACTATGTTTGCTGACCCCAGTCCAGAAGTAGGACCTGCAACCAGCTGAGGTTTCCAGCTCCAAGTCCTTGATCATATCCTAGGTACCTGGCATGGTTGGCCCCCAGAATTCTCCACCCAGGGTCTGGAGGACATCATAGAGGCAGAGGTGCCCAAGGCCTGGCCCTGGTCACGATGGTCATGATGTGATCACAACTTGCCCAGCCAGTTCTCTCTGTCCCCTGGGCCCTTTCCTGGTGCTGCCCACCTACCTGCCCAGAGGCTGTGGGTCACCTTCCTTGTGGGGACCTCCCAGATATACCACCATCCACAGGGTGCTGGGTCACTGTCTCCATGCCCTGGTCCCACAACAGTGGGACTCCTGAGAGACAGGACTGACTTTCCAGACTGGGCAGGAAGGGTTGGGGCCAAGTTCCCTCAGGGTTTTCTCCTTGGAACCCTAGTTTTGGCCAGTCCAGGCCCAAAGGTGTGTGGTATGGCTAAGGAACTCAACCCACAGCAACAGGGCAGCCTCCGATCCTGATCTTCATTCTTCAGGGCCAGAAGGGGAAGGACCCCCCACCCCAAAACCCTCCTTCCCAGCCTCCCCCAAACAAAACACAAAGAACATCAAAATCAGGCAAATGAGGCTGTGGCGGTCGTAACAGGCTTTGTTTAGTGGTTGTTGTTTTTTTTTATGTACAAGAAAAAATTTTTTTCTGATTTTTCATCTTTTATCTTTTTGTGTCTTATTACTTTTAAAGCTTCTCCCCCCACCCCCCAAAAGTGCATTTTTTATCAATTGATTTTTTTTAAACTCCCACACTTTATTATAAAGACTCTTGAGTACAGTCTCTGGAATGTCTGCTCTGTGCTCTGTACCCTGAGGGCACCACCCCCACCCCATCCCACCCCCACTTGCCAGGTTTGGCTCCCCCCCAAAGTCCAAGGCACCTTGATTCTGGGCCTGGGGTGGGCCAGGAGGCACCTGGGCATTGGGGCCCCCTGTCCACAGCCTCCAGGCAGCGCCAGCCACCGACTAGGGGTCTCCTCATCCCCCTGAATCTCCTGGCTTCCCCCCCCCCCATGTAAATCTATACTTTTAGTGCGAGCTAGTCTGAACTCTGAGATTATGGCTCCTGGGACATCCAAGCCACCAGGCCCCTGACCCGTCCTGCACCAGCCACCCCTGCCACCTCTGGGAAGGCTGCTTCCTCTGCTTAAATAACTTTTTAAAATAAAACTGCAAATATAAATATCTTTCTTTTTCAAAAAATAGGATTTTTGCTTTTTTTTGTTGTTGATTTTTTTAACTTTTTTTTCTTTTTCCTATTTTTCCTCAGTCCATCTCACCTCCTACAATTCCAGCTGCCTGGACTCTTCCCTGTCCTGGGGGTGTGGGGGTCCTGCAACCTCCCTGCCCGGTTCCACCACATGCAGGGCAGCTGCTCCTTGCCAGAGACCAAGGTCTGAATAGTACAAAGAACCCACCCACCCCAAATCTAGCCACCCCCATCCTCTAGAAGGTGTGGCCGGGGATCCCTTTTCTCTTGCTGCAGATCCCTCACTTTGGAAAGAGACATGAGGACAGTGTTGTAATAACAGGGTGTCCAGACTCCACAGCCACACGGTGCAAGAGGTCTCCAAGAGGGCACAGAGGTTTTGGTGTTGCCCGCTTGAGTCTGGCTGGGCGCAGCCAGCCCCACAACCTGTGCCAGGCTGGGCCTAGTCTAACATTTTACATTCACTGGTTTACAGTTTTTTTAAATTTTTTAAAGTTTTTTTGCCTTTTAAAAATTTTTCTTAATCTCAAAAGGCAGGGTGGGGTAGGGGTGGTGAGGCAGGAAGCAGCAGCAACTAGAGCTAGGATGCCCCTCTCTCCCGAGCTGCAGGCTGGGGACCCCCACTAATGGGGGTGCTGGCCCTGCCCCCTCACAGCCCCCCGCCCTGGGAGCCCACACTTGGACCACACTCACACATGCATTCACACATCCACACACTCCACCGTGAGGATGGAAATAACAATTTCACTTTGTTTTTTTTTTTCTTTTTTTTTTGTACCAGGCAGTTAAAAAAAAACACCCCCCAAAGAAGAAAACACACAAAAAAACCCCCAAACAACCAAACAAAAAAGCTTTCTGCTGTGTTCTTTCTGATGGAGTCAGCACGACCCCCCTCAAATATAATTTGTTTCCTGAAACTCGAGAATTCAGCAGTATCTTTGGCAACACTTTATCACGACCTTAATTTAAAGAATAAAAATAAAATCGATCCACGTCTATATACAGTATGTGATTGCGCAGTCGGGAGAAGGCAGGGCTAGGGGTCCCGGCTCTGGGCCCATGCAGATGCTGTGGCCCCCAGGACGGGAAGGGGTTAAGGCAGAGTAGGCGGGCAGGGTGGGCAAAGCTGAGCTGGGAGCTAGGGGCGGGGGTTTAGTGCAATTCCCGAGGAGGTCTGTGTAAGTGTCATGTGGTGTTGGGTGGCAGCCCTTGCCCCTACCAGTCCCAGAGGACTCAACACCCCTGCAAGTCCAGTTGCCCCACTGGCCAGATGACCGACAGCTGTGATTTTTGAGTTGGTTTTATTGCGAGAGGTGTGTGGGTAGGGGGAACAAGGGCTCCCCTTCAAGGGACCTCTCTGGGAGTTTTTTTTTTTTTTTTTTGGAGGGGAGAGGGGGGTGTCCCTGCTTGGTCACAGACAAGATGGTACTCCCAAATTGGGGTATGACTGAGGCCAGTGTGCTACCATCCAGCCCTGGGCCAGCCCCAGAGGAGGGATCCTGAGACATTTGGGGTATGTATGGGGTGGGAGCTGACAGGTTGAGGGGCAGGGAAGAAAACAAAAAGCCTATCCTGTAGAAACAATATGAAAATTGCCTTCTTAAAAAGCTTCCCTTTAAAAATGAAAGATAAAGAACAGAGAAGAGGCGCTGTCACAGAGGAGCAGGATGACACCTCCCCAGGGCACTGGTGAGGAGTCTTGGCAGGGTATTTACAGGGTCCCACATTAGGCATTGCATATGCAGGGGAGGGTCAGGGTGAGGGGGCATCCTGGCATCTGGTGACATCATCTCCCAACCCCAGTCCCACTCCGTGGCCTAAGGCTCAGTCTATGCTGAGCCTTGTGGGAGCCAGAGGTTGGGGGGAGGCAGGTACCAGAACCCCCAGAATTACAGTCAGTGCCTTTGAATAAAAAGAGGGAAGCTCAGTGGGGGGGGAGTCTAAGGCCCTGGAGGTGGGGGGCCCCTGTCACCCACCTCAGTGCGGCGGGTATGTGGAGGATGGCATCTCCTCAGTGGCCATGCAGGAGGACAGCCATCTTGGGGGTCTAGGGGTGCAGGTCAGGGTGCTCTGGCTGGTTGGAAGGCCAGCCCCCTCTTGGGCCATCCCTGAGCTAGGGAGTGAGGAAGGAAGAGGGTCCCCGGGGACAGAGACAGCCACTTGTATAGCTCAAGGGCAGTAAGACATCTCTAAATCATCAGAACTGAAAAAGGGGACAGAACTGGGGATGGGGGTGGAAGGGTGGACACGGCACAAACACAAAACCCCACAACCCTGCCTCTGAGGCCAACTTCCATAGGTGGAACAAACACCTCAGAGCATCTCTCTCAGGTCCCTTCCATGGCTCCTCCTGGGCCCCCTTCTGGCCTTTGGGGAACAGAAGTGGATTCTACGTTTGTGGTGGGTTTTTTTTTTTATTATTTTGTACAAAAATAAATCAACTTTTAGGAATTTCTCTTGCTCTCGCTCTCTCGCTCTCTCTCGCTCTCTCGCTCTCGCTCTTTTTTTTTGTCTTTTCAACTTTTCATAGAAGTTGGTTGCAACTTGTAAACATGTTTTTAAATTAAGAATTAAGATAAAGTGTAGTACCCGTTCCATTACAAAGTGCCAAGACTTCTAATGTGGTTTGTTGCCTGTTTGTTTTTCTTTCATTTTGTAAAATCGTTTTGTTTTGTTTTATTGCTTTTGTGACATTGGAACTGTGGACTCTCTCTTTTTCTCTCTGTCTTCCCTGCCACCAACAGGCCCAGTGTCCATCTGACCTGGACGCTATTCATTCTATGCAGCTGTCTGCTCCTCTGAGGAAAAGTATACTTTATATATATATATATCTCTATATATAAATTTTGTTTTTAAGGAGAAAAAGAGAAAAAATAATCTAAAAAGTGCTTTAAAAAGTTGGGAGGGGGGGCTCCAGGGAGAGGGCAGAGACAAAAGTTGTGAATCTCTAAATGGGGGGGTTTGGGCAGGCGGCGCCCCGAGGGGTAGCCCCTGGAGGTCCCACCAGTTGTAAGTGCCGTGAAAGGAGGCGGCAGGAGCCACCTGGGCCATCCTGGTGCCCCCTAGCCTTGACCCACAGTCCTGTCCCCTTTCTCCAGGCCTGGAAATAAATAGATTTGTGTCTCAGTGGCCTGGAGATATAGGGTGGGGGCCGCAGGCAGGGTGGTGGATGGGGAGGCTGCTGGGGAGATCAAAGGGAGACCCCCCCTTAGTAAGTGCCCTGAGGAAGGAGGGTGGGGGCCAGGGGTCCATTTTAATGTCCACTCAGAGCAGACAGAAATCATTTAAGGTCTTATCTGAAAGACTCCTAGAAACTAGCAAAGGGTGGGGAATAAAAGCCCACCCTGTTCCCCAGCACCCCTCAGCCCCCCAAGTTCACCCTCACCCCAGCCCAGGGCCTCGGATAGGGCCCCAGACCCTACACCGGGCACCCCGTGGCTGGGGATGCTTGGAATCCTTGTGTCCCACAAAAACCCCAAACCAAGACCCAAAACCCAGCGACGGGGGTTATGTGGTGGGAGGGTGAGGGGGAGGCCCCGTGGAGGGAGGAGACATCAGGAAGGAGGGAGATCTGAGGAAAGCGCTACCTAGGTTCTGTGACGCTTCATATATATATATCTGTATATATATATATAGATATAGATATCTGTATATAGATAGATTTTCTTTTTTTGTGTTTTTGGGGGGGTGGTGGGTGATTTTTCTCTTTCTCTCTGTCTGTCTCTCTGTCTCTCTCTCGGGTTTCTGTTTTCTCTTTTTGGTTTCTAGGCGAGTCCGGCTGTGAAGTTACCGTCGGTGGCGGCCCCAGGGCCCCCTCCACCATCACCTCCACCACCAGCGCCCGCTACATTCAACCGGCTCAAGCCATCAGGGCTGGCCGCATCCTCGTCCTCGTCCTCGTCCTTAAAGTGCTTCTCCTGGCCGTTGCGCCGGGCATCAGGGGAGCTGGGAGGGGCAGGGGCACCGGGTGGTACGGTGGCCCCTGGGCTGGGGTCAGGTCCCCCACCCCGAACGCGGGGCTTGCGGCCGCGGCGCGAGGGTACGCCATTGCAGCCGTCTTTCTTGAGGTGTCTGTGCAGGTGGTCAGAGCGGACGAAGGTCTTGCAGCAGCTGTCGCACTGGTAGGGGCGCAGGCCCGTGTGCACGCGCATGTGGTTCTTCAGGTCGTAGTTGTGCGCGAAGGCGGCACCGCACTGCTGGCACAGGTACGGCTTCTCGCCAGTGTGCTTCCTCATGTGTACTTTGAGCTTGTCCTGCCTGTGGATGGGCAGGGGCAGGGGACGGTCAGTGGGTGGTGGTAAAAAAGCCTCCTGGTCTCTGCCTGGGAGCCTGGGGACCCAGGCCAACACAGCAGGCTCCTGGACCACCGTTTTAGAAAGCAGACCATCCACCTGAGGTCCTAGTGCCCCGGGCCAGGAACGGTCCCCAGCAAAACAATGGGTGCATTTCAATGTTCTGAGTCTCAAGAGGACTTGTGTGCTATGTGGAGTTAAGTAAACAATATATCTCTCTGAACCCCTCTCCCTACCATAGGTGGAAGAAGACAGTGGCCTTCTGCTACAGAGGTAGGATGAGGCCAGTGAGTGGCCAAGAGTGGCTGTGGCCGTCATTCCCACTGCAAATACTCACTGAATGCCCGCTGGGGCCAGGCCCTGTTCCAGGTGCTGAAAATACCACAGGGAACGAGGCAGGCAAACATCCCTGCCCTCTTGAAGCTGGTGGTTGCTGGGGTGTTTGGTGACAGATAGGGTGACCAACTGTGCTGGTTTTAGCACTGAGAGTCCTGCATCCCAGGAAACCCCTCAGTCGCAGACAAACTGGGGCAGTTGGTCACCGTAGTAACTGAATCCCCACCCTACATCAACCAGACCCCAACAACTCTGGCCCTCTAGCTGTCACCCCAATGTGCCTGCCTTGGGGCCTTTGCATTTGCTAGTCTCTTTGCCAGGAGCATTTGTTCCTTTCAAATTTTGACAGTCAAAGCTGGGCTCAAATGTTATCTCCTCCTTCTGACCCTCCTGGACCCTAATGCCCAGTCCCTGGTGCCATCACCATTTGACTTTCATCCATGTCTTGGTTTCCATGTTTCTCATCTATTTCCCAGACTGGACTGTGAGCTCCAAGATGGCAAGTGCTAGGTGTGACACAAGGACCCCTCCCTTCCCATCTCACTCCACAGGGAACAGTGAGGACACTGCTCAATCTGAAGGCTTTAGCCCTACAAATCCAGTTCTCATCCTATCAGCCACAGGCAGCTCTTGAGCCTTTGAAAAGTAGCTAGTCTGAGGGCAGCGCCTGTGGCTCAGCTGGTAGGGCACTGGCCCCATATACTGAGGGTGGTGGGTTCAAACCCAGCCCTGGCCAAACTGCAACAAAAAAACAGCTGGGTGTTGTGGCGGGCACCTTATAGTCCCAGCTACTCGGGAGGCTGAGGCAAGAGAATCGCCTAAGCCCAGGAGTTGGAGGTTGCTGTGAGCTGTGTGATGCCATAGCACTCTACCAAGGGCGATAAAATGAGACTCTGTCTCAAAAAAAAAAAAAAAAAAGAAAAGAAAAGTAGCTAATCCGAGCTGAAGTATGTGGTAAGTACACAGGGCACCCCAGATTTTGAAGACTTGTTATGCAGAAAGTAATATAAAATAATACATTTGAAATTCTGCATATTGATTACATACTACAATAAATGGGTCTACTGGGTTATAGAACATGTGGTTAACGTTAACTTTAACCAGCTCTCTTTGACTTTTTCACTTTTTTTTTTTTTTTTAAGACAGAGTCTCACTTTGTCACCCTCGGTAGAGTGCCATGCCATCATAGCTCACAGCAATATCAAACTCTTGGCCTTAAGCAATTCTCTTGCCTCAGCCTCCCAATTAGCTGCAACTACAGGCACCCCACCATGATGCCCACTATTTTTTTTGTTTGTTTTTGGTTGTAGTTGTCATTGTTGTTTGGCATGCCCGGGCTGGGTTGGAACCCGCTATCTCCAGTATGTGGCTGGTGCCCTAGCTACTGAGCTACAGGCACTAAGCCTCTTTTCATTTCTTTTTTTCTGAGTCTTGGTCTGTTGCCCAAGCCAAAGTGTGGGGCATTGGCCTACCTCACAGCAACCTCAAACTCCTGGACTCAAGTAATCCTCCTGCCTCAGTCTCCTCAGTGGCTGGGAATACAGGTACCCACCACAATGCCCAGCTAATTTTTCTATTATTTTTTGTAGAGATGAGGTCTTGCTCTTGCTTAGGCTGGTCTCCGACTCCTGAGCTCAAGCAACCCTCCCACCTTGGCCTCCCAGAGTGCTAGGATCATAGGCATGAGCCACCGTGCCCGGCCTCTTTTGACTTTTTCTTTTTTTTTTTGAGACAGAGCCTCAAGCTGTCCCCCTGGGTAGAGTGCCATGGCTTCACTGTTCACAGCAATCTCCAACTCCTGGGCTCAAGCGAGTCTCCTGCCTCAGCCTCCCAAGTAGCTGGGACCACAGGCGCCCACCACAATGCCCGGCTATTTTTTTGGTTGCAGCCATCATTGTTGTTTGGCGGGCCTGGGCTGGATTCGAACCCGCTACCTTAGGTGTATGTGGCTGGCGCCTTAGCCACTTGAGCCACAGGCGCTAAGCCTTGACTTTTTCTTAATATCATTATCAGATAATTTAAAATTACATAGGTGGCTTGTAAGGTATTTTTATTGCATGGTGCTGTTCCACACTGCTGGGGACAGAGTCCTTCCTGGAATCTAGAGGGCAAAAGGGAGATCTAGATCTAAGGAGCCCTGGCCAGAGTCTGACTTGCTCCTTGCACACCTCATCCCAGCCACTTCTGGGTTTCTTCCTTCTCACATTCAGCAGACTGAAAGCTTCTCTAGTGCAAGCACTGGCAAACTCCTATTCATCCCTCAAACCCCAACCTTGAATACCCCTCCACCTCTCCCAACTTTCAAAGACCTGGCTTCTCCTCTGGCATCACTCACAGAGCTGGTGTCCCTACTTACTCTAACCTTTCTTTGGCTCTATTCCCCCATGGTCCAACGCCTTGTCTTTTGCAACCAGCCTCCTCCCCCCTCCCCAGCCTTGTTGTCCCTCTCTAGCCTTGTTGTCCCACTTGAGCTGCAATGAACTTTTCACTACCTGTCTATTGCCAGCATCCAGATCTCTGATTCTTTCCCCTTGCCTCCTCCAAAGCCCACTAGCATGGTCTATCAAGTGTCCTGCCCAGATCTGGTATAATACCAGGTCATGGAGGGGAAAGGAGCACTACATTTTTCTGGCTAAAGAGACTGAGAGGTTCAGAAAAAGGAAGTGACTTGCTTAGGGTTGCATAGCAGGCCAGGGGGCCATGCAGAGGTGGGATGGGGGAGGAGGTAGCCCCAGTTTCATCACCCCGAGCCCCAGCCTGGGTAATTATAGGCCTGGCTGCCACAGCCCCCGCTTACTCAACACTCTGCTGTGACTCAGAGGGGCCCCTGGGCTCCCAGGCCTTGGGTGGGAGGGGGCTGATTCCCTGGGGTGGGGGGTCTGGGGCTCTAGGCAGGGGGCAAGAGGAAGCAGATGGGTATGTGGGGAAAGAACCCTTGCTGAGTACCTCTATCTCTCTGAGCCTCAGTTTCCCTGTCAGGCAGACGGGACTGGTCTTGGGCTAGGTGGGGATAGCCAAGGTACTCCAAGTCAGAATGAAACTGAGCCTCTGGCCTACAGTCAGGAAGACCAGTGCCCCAGCCCCTATGGAAGCAAGGGTAGAGCAGATACTTTTGCCTAGCATGGTCCCCTTTCCAGATCTTGGCTCCCTGGGCCCCCCACTATACTATCCTTCCCAGGCTCAGAGGGCAGGATCTGCTCCTACCTTGGAACCCATGCTTGGAGGGACCTACCCCTACCAGACCTCCACCACCCTAGTCTCTCCAAAGGGCTGCCTGCCTCCTAGCCAATGCCCTTTGCCCCATGCCTGGCACGCCTGTGTGCAACAGAGCCCAGCTGCACCTTCCTCTCCTGGCCTGCTAGGGAGGGGGCCAGAGGTGCTAGGGAGGGGGTCAGTCCCAGTTCCTGTCCCCATGGGGCAGGGCCGGGAAGCTGGGACAATGGCCCCTTTCTTCAGCCTTGGTGGGCGTGGCTAGGGGAACCCCAAGTTGGGTGGGGGAGGGGGGCAGGGGTAATGCTGACTCACCAGCCTGGTCAGCCCCCCGCTGCCATCATTCTGGCCCGCCCTAGATCCACAAGACCCAGCCAACCACCCCCAGACTCCTGGGACAGAATCACAAACTGCCCTAGCCAGGTCTTGAACTCCTGCTGTTCAGGGCCCAAGCCCTGCAGTACCCACAGGCCTCAGTGATCCACTAAGATGAACTCCTTAGGGCCTTTGCACTGGCTATTCCCTTTGCCCAGAACACCCTTTTCCCATGCAGCTCCCTCTCTGTGAAGCCTGTGTCACCAATGCAGCATCCCCAGCTCCCAGCCCACAGCCTAGGAAGGCCTGGCACCCAGCAGGTGCTTAATAAATGTTGGCTGAATCAAAGCAAATTACCTAGGCTCACCAAAGATTTAAAAGCAATTCAACAAGCAGAGTTTTCCCTCCCTAAGGAACTGTCACCCTCTCTCAAAGGAAGAAAAAGAAAGAAAAATCTCCTTCAGTGCCAAAGAACCAAGCCACCACAGGAAGAAAAGTGACTCCTGTGTCTATCCTGTCAGCCTCCTGTGGCATGTCCCTGTCTAGCAACCTTTATGCACTACAAGTGGTTGTCTTATTCCTTGCCTGTGGCCCACTGGGACGTCCACCCACTGGTCCATATTGTTCTCAACAGGCACAGGGTTGGTTGGGGAAGTGTTGTGTGCATTTAGTGCAGAAGGGAAGGGACCATGTGTGGCTGAGTTTGGGCTGGGGACCCCAGAACCCCACCTCCACCCTTGACACGGCGCTAGCAGCTCACCTGGTGAAGCGGACTTTGCAGATGTTGCATTCATACGGCTTCTCGCCTGTGTGGGTCCGGATGTGGCGTGGCAGCTTGCCGGCGCCCTGGATGACCTTCTCACAGATGGGGCACTTCTGGAAGGCCTTGGCGCGGATCTTCTTCTCCACCTTTGGCGACCAGGCTGGATAGACATCACCATCATGGGCACCGCTGAAGTACTTCAGGTAGTAGTCCATGACGCCCTTGTCATCTGCCCGTGACTCCTCATCGCTGTCCCCCGTTGCCGTGGCCCCTGCCCGGCTCACTGATGACATCATCTGCTGAAGCAGTGCGCTGGCAGCCAGCCCATCCACGTCAGGCCCGTCCCCATCCTCACCCTCTGCTGCTCCTGACAGAAAGCCTGGTGAGTCGCCCGGTTCTGGGGCCGCCTCTGACAGTGAGGCTGCCTCCTCCTCCCCGCCCCGGCCATAGTGGCCATTCTGCGTGGTGGCCGGTGGGGCCGCTGGTGGCGGAAAGAGACCCCCAGCAGGGGTGTCCTCGTCCCGTTCCGGCCATAGGCCTGGGTTGCTGTCACCCTCATCCCCATCCCCTGTTGGGGGTCGCTCGGCTGGGGGGCCCGGCCCATAGAAGTCCAACCCATTGCAGTCGCCAGCTGCCACTGCAGCCACAGCAGCTGCCACGGCTTCCTTTGTAGCATCCAGGTCATCATCCGATGCACCAAAGGCAGACCACGGGAAGTTGGCAGCAGCTGCAGGGGGCAAGCTGTTCATGGGGTTGGTCTGGAAGAACTCGAGGTACTCCTTGGCGCGGAGGAGGTTGCGCTGATCAATCTGATCTACGAGGTCCAGCTGCCCAGCATCAGCACCTGCATCAGCAGCCAGGATCTGCCGGTCTAGGAGGTCAGCGCAGACATGGCTGACGGCAGGGATCTCCAGCAGGCGGGCGGCACTGAGGATGTCACCCACATTGGCCGTGCTGACTGTGAGCGTGGCTGTGTAGGCAAAGTCCATGAGTGCAGTGAGCGCCTCTGCACTGACAAAGTCAATCTCATACACGTTCTGCTGGTCAACCACGGCCCCTGACGTGAACAGCTTCTTAAAGTACTGGCTGCAGGCTGCCAGCACAGAGCGGTGTGTGGGGAACTCACGCCCCTCCACTAGGATCACCACATCACAGAGCAGGCCCTGCGTCCGCTGCTCATTTAGCCCACTCAGGATGTCACTGCTATGGTCCGGGAATGGGATCCCGATGGGGCCATCCACGCCGCCAGCCATCTTCTGCGCCGAGACCTGCAGTGCAGGAGAAAAAAGGGCACTAGTGAATGGGGATGCCCCTGGCGCCCATCAACTTGGGCTTGAGACCCTTGAGAACACTGCCCCACCCTGCCCCCCAAGCCTGTTTCCCCAGCTGTGTCCTAGGAGGGTCAGATGTCCTCGCTCATCAAAGTGAGGCTACTCGCCCACATCAGGTGTTCAAGAGACACAGGCACACTGACACTCCTCTGCCAGACAGCCCCACAAAATGACTATCAAAGGGTCTAATTGATATTGCAGGAGCACACAGTTTAAGTGCTTAAAAACCATGCCATGGTCAGTCATTCATCTATCAATCTAAGCTTTTGCCAAACACAGAGGCAACGCAATGGCATTCCCAAAACTCCTACTTCTCACTGTGTCTTAGCCTCACTAGGTACATGGGCAGCACCTGAACTCAGACCCAGGAACCTGTGACTTGAGAGCCAGAACCCCACTCCTGCCTCCTGGCTAGGCCCAGCTTACTCCAGGGAGCTTTGAGTCAGCAAGAATGGGCAAGGCCCAGACTCAGGGACCCAGTGCTATAGCTAGGCCAGGATCAAGGGTACTGCGGGTGTGCCCTGTAGGGCCAGTACTGGTGACTCCACGGGTTGAACCCCTTCCTGCCCTGTGGAGCCCCTGGCACGGGGCTCGGCCCCAGCAGTGAGTAACAGGGACACCAGGTAATGACCTGGCTGACACCCTCACCTGGCACTCTCCCAACTCTAATCCTCCCTGGCAGCACTATCCAGTCTACAAGGCCCTGATGCTCTCTGGGCCTCAGTCTCCCCATCTGTCAAATGGGCAGAGGTATCAGGAGGAGCAGGGCCCCAGGGGGCTGTCTGTCCTATCCCTCTCTCTCAGCCCCCCTTTTCTGCTTTTCCCTCTACTATGAGTCATCCACCCACTCGGATGCTTGTGCAACCCTCTGGCTCTGTCTCCACCCCTCCACCCTCTCCTGGGAGCCCCTGGCTGCCCTGAGCCACCCAGCATAAGCTGAATTCCTTAGGGCTAGCCGGCCAGCTCTCAAGCCGGCGCCCCTGGACAAGGTCCTGAGCTGGGCCTTTCTGGGCCTTGAGACTTTCTTGCCCCTGCACCCCAGACCTGCTATGACCCAGGCAGGCACAGTTGGACCCAAGGCCAGGGCAGGCCCTCAGAGCGGGGTCCAGGCCCTGGCGCTGACACAGAAGCCTTTGTGCTGTGGGCCCCGTAGCCCCACTTACCCGCCCTCCTTCCCGCAATGGGGCCCAGGCACCAGCTGCTTAGCTCCCCCTGGGTGCGGGGGGGTGGGGGGTCAGATGTGGCTGCTAGGAGCAGAGAGGGGGGACCCCATCTGAGGCCCAGCCCCATGGAACCTCAGAGGAGCCCCCTTTGGTGGCAGCCACCCCCTGCTACCATCTGCCGTCTGGCCCCAGGCTATGGGGAGCATATGGGCAGATGGGGCTCCGGATCAGACATGCCCTGCCCTCTCTCAGCCCACCCCCCAGCACAGGAGGTAGGGGACCTCTGACCCAGGGCACCAATACCCCAGATGGCCTCCCTGCCCTGCTCTGCTAGTCTCCCGTTGGGTGACCTCGGGTCCTCCTGAATAGCTTAGAGGGGTCTCCCCAAGATGGTACAGGTGACTCAGCCTTCCTATGGCTACTCTGCACCCCTGGCTTCCCAGCCAATGCCAGGATCATAGGCCAGGGCTGCCCAACCTATTTTAAGCATGAAATACCAGGCTGGAGGCCATGGTGGGGCCTGTGGATGCTGGCTGGGTCCGAGGGTATGATTCTCTGCCCTTGTCAGCCAGGCAAATCCCCTATCAGAGGACATGGCTTCCTATTTTACAGATAAGAACACTGAGGCCCAGAAAGGGCTACTGTCCTGGCCAAAAGTACCCACCTGGGCTGACTCCCAGGGGTATCCCCCTACTCACTTCCGTCCCCTCACCCCGGGAACTAAACTCACTCTGTAGACCCAAGATCCACACCCTTTCTCTACAGAAACACAAGCCACCTGCCAGCCACACCCTCAGCCACCACCTCTACCAGGCTTCTCTCTCTCAAGGGCCTCCCCCAAAGGAAAGGGCTGAAGTCGACCCTGCCTTTGAGTTGAGAGGGCCTCTACCAGATCACCTTCAGGTGTCATTAAGTCCTAGCAACAAAAAGCACCTGCGTGCTGAAGACCCACTGTGCGCCTGACGCACAATGGGTGCCCCCGTGCATGGTGGTAGTGGTTTTATTCCCCTCCTCTTCCAGGAAGCCTCAGTCCCCATACCACACCAGCCAGGTCCCCACCCCCGCCAGCCAGGGTCCCATGAGCTCAGGCCCACACCCACCCAGGGCCCCACCTTTCATCATGGCCCATCCTCCACACTTGCCTCTGTGGGATTTCCGGGCCGCTGGGTGCTGACTAGGCAGCCAAGGGGCAGGCCCTGGCAGGCCCCTCCTGGGCTGAAGGTAGGGTACCTCCTCCCCAGGGCCCCTCCTGGGCCCCTAAGCCCAGCCCTCTCCAGGATAGCACACAGTAGGGTCAAAGGGAACAAGGGAGCAACCTACGATGACATCTGGCTGCACCCAACTGCCTACAAGCACACCTAATACCAAGGAACTGAGCAGTCCGACCTCCCATCTAACCTAGGGTCACAAGCCGTAGTTTCTTTCTAAGGCCTTAATTTAGCACTCCCTGTGCTCTACAACTTTGAGGAACTAACTTGGTGCCTTTATTTCACCCAAAGACTCAAAGAGGGGACAAGGCCTAGCCAAGATTACATAGGAAATCGGTGGCCAGGTCAGGACTCATGCCCTCTGACCTGAGCTTCTGCCACTCCCCAGGGATGTGCAGCAAGTGCAGAAGCACCCTGATATGGCTCACACAGCAGCGTCACCTAGGCAGAACCCAAAGATCACAGCAGAGGAGAAGATCGAGGAGAACAGCAGGAACAAAGGCTGGCAGGTGGGCAACTCAAAAGAAGTGAACCAGAGCTGGGGGCCTTACCAAGGTCACAAGCAAGGTGAGAGTTAGGGCCTGGCCTCTCCACCTGGGTTCCTCAGGAAAGAGAAGGGATAGCTGGCAAAGGGGCTGAGCAGGTTACTACCCACTGCCTCCCTAAGGGACACTTCTGGGGGCAGTGGGCCGCTTAATGAGGGGTTCAGGACCCCCACTCACTCCTCTACCCAGGGAGACCAGAGAAGAAAACCAAAGGCGGCACCTATTATACCTACTGTGTGCTGTGCAGTGCAGGGCAGCTCTTGAGTCCCTGTCTCCACAGCTTAGAGCTGTGTGACCTTGGGCAAGAGGCAGTGCCTCTCAGAGCCCTTCCTGGAGCAGGAGTTTAGACAGCAAAAAAACAGCTCCCCTATGACCAGGAAGCACAAGGACAGGTTCCTTTCACATCCATTCAGCAAACTTTGCCCAAGAACCTACTATGTGCCAAAGCTAGTCCCTAAAGGGCCACCATCCCTCTTGTGGACTGGGGTGAAGGGTTTTTTGAACTTCACTACTGAACATTACTCCAGGGATTAAGGCTCATCTTCACCTACTGTGTGCTAAGGCAGTGGACAATAGTGTCTGAGGGGAGAGCTGGAATGGAAGACCAGGCCCAGAGAGGGTGGGCAGCTGGCTCAAGGTCACACAGCAAGCCTGGCATGCAGGTGCGGCTGCTGGGCCCTCGCCCGGTGGCCCCACCCCCTCCCAGCCTGGCGGCCTGTGTTGCAAGGTTGGTCTTGATGGGTTACCCCACCCTGACTTGGTGCCAATCCCAGCCTGGCCCGGTCCCCAGCCCTAGGTTTGGGGCACCAACGACCCAGGATGGCTGCCTGCTGCCAGCCTGCCCCCTGCCCTAGGCAGGCCTCCCTCCAGGCCACACAACAGCACACAGGCCCTCAGCCATTTTACATGTCCATTTATTGCCCTAAATGGGGAGGGGCTTCCTGCCCGGGGCTTAAAGGGCCAGAGACAGGAGGTTACAGAGCCCAGTGGGAAAAGTGTGCATAGAGTGAGGTGGGGTCAGAGATGAGGCAGCCATGGGGTTCCCACTGGGTGAGGAGGCGGCCCACCCTATTCCCATGTTCTCAGTGCCACCCTGGGCCAGGAAGCCCAGACTCCAGACCAAGGCTGGGTTCCAAGAGGAAGCTTCAAGAAGCTAGAGCCATCTATAATGGCAATGGAAGGAATGAGCTTCCTGTCACTGGAGGTAAGCAAGGCCAGACCCCACAGAATCCCATCTCTGTCTACTCTGCCTTCAGCCTGGGCTGCACTAAGATGCCTAGGAGCAATGTGGGTGGCCTGAGAGGTACGACTCTGCCTCCAGACCTCTCTCTCCTTTCCCTTGTCACCTATACTCACCCCACCCTAGTCTGAGCAGATGGAAGGTGCAGCCTGGGCGCCCAGAGGGACACTCGGCCTATGGGGCCCCAGGATCCTGTACCTCCAGAATGTGGGTAGATTCTACTCATCACACACATCCTAATAGGTGGTAGGCTGAGGCCTTGTTTTCCAGTCAAACCAGAAAGGCGTAGGTGGGGACACTTCCACAGAGTGGCCGTTCATAGCCTGCTGGGGGGACAGATGGAGGGGCCGGTGGCTTGGCCACACTTCCTGCAAATGCCAGACCTTCAGCAGGGCACCTTCTGTGCTTTGGGGCTCGGGGGCTGGGGAGAGGCTGACCCTGGTTGTTATCACAGAGAACCTTAGACATCATCCATCCTCATGGCTCTGAAAGGCAGGGTCTCTAGTCAGCACCCCATTCTGCAGATGGGCAACAGGCTCAGAAGGGGAAAGCAACTTGCTCAAGGTTACACTGCAGAGCTAGAAGTTGGACAAAGACCATCTGGCTCCCTCCTACAGAATTACCAGTCCCAGGGGTTCCTTCTCCCCATTACCAGGCACATAGCCCCCAGGGACCAGCAGAGGGTAAAATCCCCCGCCCTGGGGCCCACAGTACTGAAGATGACTTATTCTCACACCCCCTTGGAGTGCCTTGTGATACAGGAGAGGCTCCCCCAAGGTCCTGCTACTGTGCACAGCAGCCACCCAACAAATGTTCCCAGAGAATCACGAAGTAAAACTCCCAAGATGACACTTCTGGGCTGAAGATAATCTCCCCCATTGTAATGGGAAAACCAAGGTTGGCAGAGAGGAAGTGACTGCCCTGAGTGGACCTCAGGTGGACCTGAGTAGGCCTGAGATTGGAGCACACTCACCCCTACCCAAGCTTGTTCCTCTGGTCCCTGCTGCCCAGGGCTATTGCAGGGTAGTTTATGGTCCAGCAGGTGCCTACAGCACCAGATGACAGGTGGGGGTGCCGAGTGTCTCAGGTGGTTGGTAACCCACGCCCAGCATGCAAGTGGATCTCTGCCATACCTTGAGCTGTCCTGAGAGCTTCCTCCACAAGAGAGAAGAAAAGAGATGGCACAGGTAAACCTGCAGGCACCACTAGGGCAACCCTGCCACCCCACTGTATAGGTCACACTCAGACGGCATGAAGCCAGGGTTCAAATGGGCCAGCCCCCACGCCTCAAAGGCTTCCTCAGGCCATCTCCATTGCAGAGGGGTTGGCCCTGACTCTTGACCTTGGTCTCCTCTGGTACAATGACTCGTAAAATACAGAGCCCTGCCCACCTCTGAGGGCCCAAGCTGTCAAGGTGTGGAATCATAGGTGGACAGATTAAAAAGGGGCCTGTACCCTCACAGTCTAAAGTGTTAGCCCAGTGAGACTGGAAGGGAGGACTGTGTGGTTCATGCTGTGTGACCTTGAGAGCCTTACTGGCCCTCTCTGAGCCTCAATGTCATCTTTGAAAAAAGGGCTGAATAAGCCTCAGTCACACTCCATTCATAGACAGGTGGCTGCAGTGGTGGCTTCACTGCTAACCTCCAGCCCTTCCCAAAGACAGGGGACACCAGACAGGTTTACACAGGGAAGCAGGGCCACAGTGGGGTGACCTTAGACCACTCTCTACATCCCCTGCACCTCAGTCTTCCCTGCCCCAGCCATGCCACCAACTCTGGGGCACACTCTGACCCCTGGAGTTTTCAAGGCTCAGGTTCTAACCTCCCCTCCAGGCCTGTTTCCTCTAATAGTGACAGTGGCTGCCGCCAGGTGGATCCAAACATGGGTCACAGGGGCTCAAGGAAAAGAAAAAAAAAAAACACCAAACCACCACGGACTTGCTATCACCCAAGAACCTCTGCCAGGCCTGTCTCCCACACAAAGTAAAGGACCCCTCAGCTCCCTCCAGCTGACTGAAGGCTTCTGCTGACTGGCCATCACGCAGCCAATCAGAACTGAATAAGTACCCCCCCCCCAAGAGTGACCCACGAATTAAAATTTCAGTGTCCCCGTTGGCTCCTCTTTCCTTCATTAGGCTTTGCTTTTCCAACAACCTGCCCCTCCTCCCCCAGGCTCCGTCTCCACAGCGATGGCTGGCAGTAAACAGAGCCCCGAGCCCAGCCATAGGTGCTCTAGGGGCCCCACAAGGGGTGGACCTTGGTGGTGGGGGGAATATGCCTTGCCAAAAGCCCTCAGCTAGGGTGGCAGCAAGGCCTGTCCTCCTGGGACCAGCTCTACCAATAGGAAGTGATAGGCCAGTAGTGGGCACCCCCCCCCCCAGAGTGGGAGCGGCACACTCAGGGTTACGCCCTGGTCTTGTTCTGGGGCGGGGGGGACTGACACGGAATCCTGGAAGCCCTCTCTGGAGGCAGCTGGCGAGGAGTTGGGGGGGGAGCAAACCGGCCTGCCACCCATGGGTGAGCCAGGTGGGCGCCGCTGGGGGCAGGGGCACTAACACCTCTCTCACTTCCGCCGTCTGGCTAGGGGAAGACAGGAGTTGCCTGCCTCCCCCTTGCCTCTCTGCCAACTCCTGGCTGCATTCCGCCAACATTTAGTGGGCGCCGACTAGGTGCCCAGGACTGGTTGGACAGCACCTTCCTGCTGCGGCCCACCAGAGCCCCCGCGAGCCAGGCTGCCCGCCCGGGCAGTACCTCCTAGAACCTGCAAAGGCCTGGGCCGTGGGGGGGTGCAACGCTCCAGCATTCGTCCAGCTCAGCCCCCGGCCGGGTTCCCAGGCCCGGGCCTGGGGGAGGGGGCCAGCTCTCCGACCAGAGAGAGGGAGGGTGAGGGAAGGAAGGGACCGGATCCCACCAGCTCTCTCCCTCCTCTGCCTGGGCTCAGGGTTCGCACGTGGTGGTGGCGTCAAGGGGAAGGAGCGGGGTCCAGGCCAGAGGAGATAGGGTCACGCGCTTTGGGGGCGCGGGAGAGAGACAGAGTGCCTGCTTTCCTACTCTTGCGGGCCGCAACCAGGCGGCCGCGCGGGCAGAGCGAGGGACCAAGCTAGTCCCCCCACCCAGGGCTGAGTCAGGGCCGGGCGGGGGCAGGAAGCGGT